AACCTCCAACTCTTGGGCTTAAGCGATTCTCTCGCCTCAGCCTCCCAAGTAGCTGAGACTACATGTAGGCACCCGCCACAACACCTGGCTATTTTTGTTGTTGTTGTTGTCATTGTTGTTTGGCAGGGCCTGGGCTGGATTCGAACCCACCAACCCCAATGTATATGGCTGGCACCCTAGGCACTAAGCTACAGGTGCCAAGCCAATGTGAGGTTAATGCTAACCTAATCATTCATTAACCCACAAATGATTAGGTTACATTGTTTGCATTTGTTAGGTAAAGTTCAAGTTGTAGTTGAGTCCTTCACCCAGGGGATATGCTGAACACTCTTACTTTGTGACTGTTAAGTGAGAGCACACCCATTCCCCTCCCTCCCCCTTTTCCTCTTCCCTCCTCCCATCTCCCCCCCACCTGAATTTGTGTTTTTCTCTCATGTGGGGGTGTAGTTGTTTATTTATTGGTCCTTCCAATCCACTCTTTTTGTTCTCAGGGTTGTACTATAAATTCCAGAGGGGCATCAGGCTCTTTGGTGGTCTTGGAGTATTTTCTGTGACCTTAGTGACCAGATTTCCTTTCTACCCCCTTTGGTAATCTCCCCTGGCAAGCTAAGGGGAAAAATGCTTCGGTCACCCCTAGTCCAGAACACTGCATGTGTGCATGCCTAGGTGTGCCTGCATGTTGGGACTTAAGACGTGCTGATGGCGAGTTTTGGGCAGGGGCAGAGAGGTGAGGGAAGGAGAAGATGTGTGGTAGTGTGAAGAGATCCTGGAGGGTCTTAGGCTTCCCTTCAAGCTTGTCATCTCCACTCTAGAGAAACCACCCTGACGGTGGCTGAGGCCAAGTGGGAGAGGCCAAAGGACTCAGGTCCTACAGACAGCACCTTATAGACAACAGAGGCTCTGGGGCCAGGGACAGGGGTGCCTTCTTGTAAGAAAGTTTCTTCTGGCACCCAGGGCTCTGGCTTATTGACTTCAGAAAGCACCAAGTGAAGGCTCGGCACCTGTGGCACAGTGGTTACAGCACCACATACACCAAGGGTGGCAGTTTCTAACCCAGCCCAGGCCAGGTAAACAAGAATGACAACTGCAACAAAAAATGGCCAGGTGTTGTGGCAGGTGCCTGTAGTCTCAGCTACTCAGGAGGCTGAGGCAAGAGAATTGCTTAAGCCCAGGAGTTTGAGGTTGCTGTGAGCTATGACGCCACAGCACTCTACCCAGGGAGACATAGTGAGACTCAGTCTCAAAAAAAAAAAAAAAAAAAGAACCAAGTGACTGCGGGAAGACTAGGGGAAGAGTCATGGAGGATGGCTCTGCAGTTAGGGCCTCGTGGTGCGAGAGGCAGGCTACCCCAGTTTGAATTTCATCACATTCACTTGCTAGCGGTATGGCCGTGGGCAAGTAGTTTCATGGGCCTCTGAACCTCAGTTTCCTCATCTGACAAGCAGCATAGCGTAGTAATAATTGAAAACATGGACTCTGGAGTCAGACTATGAGATTCAAATTCCAGTTCTGCCTTTTAGTAGTGGAACAATCTTGGGCAAGTTATTTAACCTTCTTGTGCCTCAGTCTTTTCATCTTTACAATGTGAACAGTAACAGTCCCCCCCTCCTATAGTTGAGGGACATAAGCTGTTTCTCAGTGTGAGAGGCTAAAACTATGACTTTTGCCAAGGGTTGTAGCTGAGGGAAGGAAAGGTCTCGAGATTAAACCAGAGAGCCCTAGTTTCTGCTTCCCCAAAGCCTGTGTTTGACCACTGTTCAGTTCTGTTTAATTTGCTAGATCAAATAAAAACTGAAGGTGGCCAGCTGTTTCCCTGTCAGTTACCAGGGACCTTTGGATTTTGTGACCCTGCTTTAAGCATCGTTGCCAAGGGCTCTGGAGAGCAGCAGTGTTGGGAGAAGAGGCAGTCCCAAGAAGAAAAACAACCCCTCCCCCCCTTCCAAGAGGTGCCATTCAGGGATGGAGGCTCCAGGAGAGAAGGGATGCTGGTTGCTGGGGGAAGGTCTCGTCTGACATAGCACCCTTTCCATCTCTGGCCAGCTGCATACCCAGGGCTTCCCCACTCCATCCCATCCCACCTAGGTGGGTGGAGGTACAACTCTTACCAATTCGCACTCTCCATGAGCAGGAGCTTCGGAAATAGGAATAGAGGATGGGCTAAGGAGAGAGAGGACAAAGGTGCATGTTAGTCCATGTTTGGTGAGTTCTCAGCCTCAGGTGCACCTGCTGGGGAGGAGGAATCAGTCCTCAGGCAAGGGGCTCCAAGCCCACACTGCTTCCTCTCACTTGGCCAGAACTTCCTCTGTAGGCTTGTGTCTGAGCAACTCAGGCCTGGTTCCCCTGGGAGTCATGGGAAGTCCTTTGGCTTCTAATTGTGCTGAGTGGTTCCTGAAGGGGTAGTTAGCGTACAAGAGCCTTCCTTACCTTGGTAGACTCAGTCATGGTTCTGTTGTGACTCTTGGCCTCCTCAGGGAATGTCCCCTCTCACAGAGCTGCCGGGCAGTGGAAGGAAGCCTAAGGGGGTGGATCCCATGAGCCAATGGGGAATTTGCTCTGGACAGGCATCATGGGAACTTTGATTCGGGGTAGAAAGGGCATCTCTTTCCAACTCCTGGGAAGTTTCTTATGCTCCTGGTGGAGCCAGGTTTGGTGTTCTGGGCAGACAGTATGGCCTGACTTTAGGGCAGTGGTGTGTGTGACAGTGGCTGGGAGCTGGCATACCTCAGTGCCAGTATGCCAGCTTTAGTGTTCAGTTCTATGATGGCATAGGCTCCTTCCAGCATTGGCAGAAAAACAAAACATTCTAATTTTTGGATGCTTTGGTGCCCATCTCCTTCAACCCCTCCATCCCCACCTAGTCCTCCAGGCTCTCAGCTGGAAATGTAAAAACAGGTACAGATACGCCCATTCACTGAAAAGGTGAGGTTGCAAGCTGGCAGGTCACAGGGATCCTATCTGGTCCTCAAAAGTGTTCTATTTAGTCTATGCAGAAGTTTAAAATGTTTCAACTAGTTATCAATGTTTATAAATCAGGACCTTTCATATATAAATTCTGTTGTCTTTTCTCTTTTTTTTTTCCTAAGAGATGAGGTCTCCTGCCCAAGCTAGAGTGCGGCAACATCATCATAGCTCACTGTAGCCTCAAACTGCTGGTCTCAAGTGATCCTCCTGTCTCAGCCTCCCAAGTAGGTGGGACTACAGGTACACACAGCACACCTGGCTTTCTACTTTAAAATATGTGGAGATAATGGATTTGGGTTCCTGATTGGAGCACAGTAATGGCCCTGCCAGTTAGGTATGCCCTCTCAGGTCTGCCACTGCCCAGGCCTGGCCTACTTTTCTCAATTTTGTTACCTTAAAGTCTCTGGAGGCAGCTGGTGTGTGACCTCAAAAATTTAAGAGACTCAAAGGTAATTTCTCTGGTACTTCTTGGGTAACCAGCATTTCAAAGCGAGACCCAGGAAGAGTTTCCAGTGATCAGCACTCATGAATCTTCCTACTGACATATGTATCCATCCTTGACGGAGGACTTGAGGGAGTTTCTCAGATCACTCCTATTACTGAGATTCCTTCTTGTCTCTGTCATCCCCCGCCCCAACCCCACACTATACACCAAGTTCTTGTCTGACCCTGTTCTCACTATCCCTGCACTAATAACTTAGTCTTCTAGGTAGACAAAGGCACAAATGGAAACACAGATCCTCCTAAGGTGGTTTCCAAGCCCAGGCATCCCAATCTGTCCTCAAGGTACCTTTTATGGGGACAGTAAAGATGGTTCTGGCATAGAGATCAGGCAATAGGTGGCAAGTGCCCTTTATAAGAGGAGCAGTTGGGTGGCCACAACTGGATCTTCCTTATTTGGAGACACCGCTTTCCTTATCTAGCATGGCTGGTGGGACCCTTGGGGTCAAGAGACAGGGACTGTTGGTGAAGTACAGACCACTAGAGAGTGACAGACATTAGCTTAGAATTCTTAAGAAATGCTTTACCTAATGACTAAATGCTACACCCTTGAACTGTACTGAGGGTGACCAGAGGCATGGTGAAAGTCACTGTCCTTCATTATGCACCTTAAGTAGGAAACCTGAAATCTCTTAGGCAATTTCTGCTCCTTTTTTTTAATTTAGAGTCTCACTATGTCGCCCTGGGTAGAGTGCCATGGCGTCACAGCTCATAGCAACCTCCAACTCTTGGGCTTAAGTGATTCTCTTGCCTCAGCCTCCCAAGTAGCTGGGACTATAGGTGCCCACCACAAAGCCCAGGTATTTTTTTGTTGCAGTTGTTTAGCTGGCCCGGGCTGGGTTGGAACCTGCCACCCTCAGGTTGTGGCTGACACTGTAACCACTGTGCTAAGGGCGCCAAGCTAGCCATTTCTGTTCCTTCTCTTACCAGTGATAACTACAGAAACCATTCTCTGGTCCTTTTTGCACTTATAGAACTAAATTTTAAGCCCAAGTAGCTATCTTATCACCACTCCTGGGAAGAACTGTGTTTCCAATTCAACTCTATACGGTTTACTCAACGCTTACTTTATTTTTTAAAATTTTATTATTTTTTGAGACAGAGTCTAGTTCTGTAGTCCTACCCCCTCCCCCCCAAAGTGCAGTGGCCTCTGCACTGGGCCTCAAACTTCTGGGCCCAAGTGATCCTCCAGACTCAGCCTCCTGAGTAGCCTGGCTAATTTTTCCCATTTTTAGAAGAGTTGGGGGTCTCTTTCCTCCGTTGGTATCAATCTCCTATATTCAAGTGATCCCCCTTCCCTTGGCCTTTTAGAGTGCTAGGATTACAGGAGTTACCACGCCGGGATTTACTTACTTATTTTTGAGAGAGTCTCACTTTGTCCCCCTTGGTAGAGTGCAATGGTGTCATAGCTCACAGCAACCTCAAACTCTTGGGCACAAGCAATCTTGTCAGCCATCCAAATAGCTGGGACTACAGGCGCCCGCCACAATGCCCAGCTATTTTTAGAAACCGGATCTGCTCTTACTCAGGCTGGTCTCCAACTACCGAGCTCAGATTTTAATATTTCTTACATGTGAGTTTAGAAAAAGACTCCTAAAATCTCATCTGGCAGTTGGAGGGCTATACATTATTAAGGTGACGCTATCTCCCACCTAATGTGTAGCTCTCCTTCGTATTACGACAGCGATTCTCAAATTTCAAAGCGCGCCTAAGACTCAACTGGGTTGCTTAACAAAATTTTGCAGATTCTCGGGTCGTTCCACGACGGCTCTGGGACGGACCCAGGGAAGTGCATGTCACAGCAAGGGACTGCGAGTGCATGTCACAGCAAGGTACTGCGATTACTTTCCTCACCCCTCGTGCTCTCTCAGAAAGCAAGCACATCGGATGAAAGAGCAGCACCTACGGCTGTGCGGATCTGGGAGGCAAGGATTGACGTTTGGAAGTTGTGTAGGGGTAACACGGAGCCGCAGGGCACCTGGAAACAGCGCGCAGGCGCAGAGCGTGCTTGGCTGGCGCATTGCACGCTGGGAGTCGTTGTCCGCTGCGGGCGAGCGGAGCGGCTCACCTTTGACCCCGCCCCCCCAGGACTTCTTCGGGTTCCTAACTAGCGTCCCTCTCCCGGATGCGTGGCACAGACCTTCCCCGCTTGCATCTCGCACTTTGCGCCTGAGACTCGTCCACGAGTAAGACCCAGAGACACCCCGATGAGTCAGACCCTTGACTGCCGTCCGGGTACAGCGACTGGACTAGAATGATCTTTCCGGTCGCTTCCGTCCGGCCTAGCCCTCCTGCCACGCCCCGCCTCCCGGCGCTGCTGGGAGTTGCAGTCCTCTGAGTCCATCCCGCTCCCGTCTGGCCTCCGGGCCTCCCTGCCCTGCCGGTCCCGACATGCTCTGCGCCACCGGCCGCCTCCTAGCGGCCCGGGCGGCCGCCACGCTGTCCGCCCCGCCCGGCGCCCGGGGCTCTGCGCTCCGTTGCCGGCGCAGGGAACTACTTTTCCCAGAGCACTCCGAGCCGCCCTTTCGTGATTTCTTGGCGGGACGGCTGACAAGACCGAGTGTGCCTCCGGGCCGGAGGGTGATCTTGAGGAGGGGGAGGATGCCGCCGGCCACGGGCGGAGGCTTGGCAGGGTCCGAGCTGCGTGCCCGGAGGGGCCGCGGTGGACCCCCGGCGGCTAGGCCCGCGAGCCGGGACGTGGCCGCTGAGGCTGCAGCGCCAAGCCCCAAACGGTCTGCTCCAGGCTCGCAGCGCCTCGAGGCGGCCGGCTGGTGGGCCCTACTGGCCTTGGTGACGCTGCTGTCCTTCGCCACCCGCTTCCACCGTCTGGACGAGCCGCGGCACATCTGGTGAGTGACAGGGAATCCGCGAGCACCATGGCAACCAGGAGGGAGGAACACCGCCTTCTGATTGGCCCGGGGGCACGAAGGGGCGGGGGCCTAAGCGGAGGAGAAATTGAGGTTTCGCGTGGTTGGTCTCTAGAGAACTGTGGGCTCCGTGAGAGGAGTTCTTATGCTGTGGTTGGGGACAGTGGGGTAGGATCTGAGGAAGCAGTGCTCATGTCTTCCAGGTTATACTGGAGTGCCTCACCTGCATGTCAAATTGCGGTTTTTAAAGGTGTTTTGAACGTCACAAAGAATTGGGAAATTCCTGGTACAGAATTTCCGAAGGCCTGAGTTCCTACTTTGCATGGTTTGAAGGAATCAGCAGCGGGGAATATTCCTAACTGGGTGCCTTCATCTTTTAGAGCAGTGATAGTTTGGGTGTCCAGGAATGGTGACGGGATTCCAGGAAGCAAATCGAAGGTTGTCCTCTGGAGAAGGGATTTATTTTTTTGAAAGCTTTATTTTGTACTGCTCAGATGCTAGGCACATTTGCTGCTCAAAACTTATTAGCTGAGCATAAAAAGTATTAATTTGGTTTCCGGCTGGAAGGAGGAAAAGTTTTATACAATTTGAAAGTGGTTGGTTTATCTGGCCAACAAGTGATAATCATGTTTTCTCAGTAACACTGAGAAGAAAGTTAGTGTAGAGGAAGTTATAAAACAAGCAAGAAAACAAACTGTCAGGGTTGCCCTACTTGGAAATTAATCAGTTAGCCTGTTACTGTGTCTTGACTACTGACAGAAGATATGAGACTCCTGGGTTAGAGACAAAAGACTTGATTACATGAAGCAGGATGAATAGCAGCATATTGGAGGTAGTTTCCCTTGTCCCCAGGTCCCACAGGGTGATGCTGCGGGTGCAAATGGACCCACATACAGTGCGTTACATCGAAGCAAAGGAATAAGAAGCTTGAGGAATCTACTGTTTATAGCATATGGTTAACAGACCTATTCTTTCTCCTGGAAGGGGTACATTACCTCATCTCTCAAGGTTACTTGCGAAACAATCCTGAGAAATGGTCTAGGTGAAATACAGTCAGGGCCTTGCATTCTTGGCATTCCCAGAAAGATGTGTAGATGTATGAGACATCCAACTCTCTCTCTCACCGCACCGTCCTACACTGTCTTGGCTTCCAGCAGATTTTCACATGCAACTCCACTGGCTTAACTGGTTACCTGGGCTGACAGAGGTAGGGACCAAATATGTTGGATTTGTCTCATGCAGCATTTAATTAAGACTTTTATCAGTGGGACTCTAAGCAGCAGGATGAGGTCAACCTGCAGTATTTACCTCAGCCATGCTCTCTGGGGTTCTGGATTCAGCCATCTATACATACGTCCTGGGGGAACCAAGAAAGCTCATTTTAG